TATTCCTTTTGATTGATTATAAATTCCTCTTATGTAAAAACCTTAACATTAAAAAAGAAGTTTCTTTTAATACATACATACATATATATATACACACACACAAAAATCAATTTATTCTTTGTTACTAGGTGTGGAAGTAATTGTGAAGAGGAAAAAGGCTGGAAGCCCTGCAATAACTCTTCTGATCAAAAATCCTCCAGCAGAAATATCAGTGGACATCATCTTGACTTTGGAAGTTCAGCAGAGCTGGCCGCCCAGCACGCAGGATGGCCTCAAAATTGAACAATGGCTGGGAAGAAAAGTCAGGGGAGAGTTCAGAAATAAATCACTTTATTTAGTGGCTAAACAAAACAAAAGAGAAAAGGCTCCAAGAGGTACCTCAAATACAGACAATAAGTCTAAGTTATGAAATATCTTCTTTACAACTTCATCACTTACAAGTGTTATAGAAAGGGATGCAGATACTGTTCAGTATTCTGTCTTTGAGGTCCAGATCTTTATCTTATCCTGGATATATCCAACGACAATTGAAATCCCTCTTTAAAACACCAGATTTGTGACACTGCTTGTCCTGTACTGAAATCTAAAGACAAAACTGCTCTGCCAGGCTGTACAGTATCTGTTTCTAAGAGCATTTTAGTAAATCTACTATGTTAGACACACAAACACGAACCTTTCCTGTGCTAGTGCTGTACTTAACAGCAACACCCATTCCTTTGCTTCAGAAGACAAAAAAAACCAAGAGACTTCTAAAAAGGCAGGGAACATCCCTGTAAGTGGGACAGTAGACACAATTATATACTTCTGCAGTAAGTAAACTGTGCTTTTCTAGCAACATACATTATTTTTCATTGGACTCTGGGATGGTTACAACTTTTTCTTTTTTTTTTTTTTTTTCTCCAGAGCACTGGCACACCAAAGCCTACATTAGTTTGCAGAAAAAATCCCAACTTGTCATTGCATTATAAGAACTGATGATTTCAGCAAAAAGAGTTCAGGCAATCTGAAAGAACAGAAATTCAGAGGTAGTGGATTTCTGTGAGTAGTGTAATTCCCCAAATCACGTTCAACAAATTCAGGAAAGTTCAGAATTAAGTTTAACGTGAAAGTAAATCCAGACATCTTTATAGTTGAAGCTTCCAAATAATTAACTATGGCCTATGTTAGTGGAGTAGCTGGGGAATTAAGGAGGCATTAGCTATTTGTAGTTATTGATTTTTTTTTTTTTAAAGCACAACAGAAATTGCTGATATTTAAGTCAATTATAAAGTGTCTATTTTTCCTAGTTACAGACACAGTTACAGTGTAACAATCTTGTACTCAACTTCAGGAAACACCTGGCGACTCTCTTTCTCACATATTGAGAAGGCCATGATGAACAACCACGGCAGCTCCAAGACATGCTGTGAATCTGATGGACCGAAGTGCTGTAGGTTGGTATTTCATCTGAACGTTTTATTTTAAGTCTGCGTGAGCTGAGCTAGCACTGTCTGGCAGTGTTTCAGTTTAACTTTTAATAATTTGATCTAAGACTAATTACTCATAATAAGGAGCAAGAAGGCTTTTAGGCATGATTGTTCTACAGCAGTACATCACATGTACTCGCCAAACGTCTGACTTGCATTTACTCAGTGAGAGGTGGAAACAAATTACGTTGCAGGTTTACACTCCAGACTTGCCTTTGAAAGCAAAAAGATGCAACTTGTTAAATAATCTTTCCCAAACTCAGTCCTGTTTAGAACCACAAGCTTAAAAAAGTCTGATGGGTCAGCTTTCTGAGCTCTGGGAGCAAAATTACACTCCATACCAAGGCAATTTCTAAAACGATGGTGAGAAAAGAACTGCTGAATGGGATCAGGATGAATTAAATGTAATTTTCCACTCTAATAAAAGCCAAATTGCACATTTCTTCGAAGAGAGAACAAAACCCACATGACATACAGAACCTTCTTAATGGCAAACCAACTTCTTACCTATATACATCTTGTACTGAATCGAGAAAGTCACAAGAAAACTAATGCATAGTTCTTTGTCTCTGTTTTATGAGTATTATCTGACATGCTGTGCCCCTTCCTAGCCATGTATTAAACTACATATAATACCTCTTCCCCTCGTGGTGTGCCACAGGAAGGCAGTGGTATTTCCTTCAGTGTAAATCCAAGCTAAAAGGGCAGCTTTAATCTTAATCACTGCTCCAAGTTCATGTTACACTGGTAGCATCTGCGGCCTGGGAGACCGTACTGTGTAAGCATGCTGCTGACCAACACTTTGTATTTCTGTGTTGGTGTGGCTACCAGTGAAAGTGGTGCATACACAAAAACTGTTGTTTAAAGTAGAATCATTGCTAAAATCTGACTTCATACACAGACAGAAGTTCTAGGATTAGAACTACTAATCCAGCCTATTGCTGCACTTATTTTCAGATCTTATTCAAAACATTACTGAAAATGTTATTCTGTTAGCGTAAGAACATTTTTATTGCTTTCATGAATAATGTGCACTTAAATACCTAAAATACCTATATAGAACTGACTACATAGAAGGTACCTACTAAATTCTTATTTATTTAAACAGGAAAGGTTGTCTCAAGCTTCTGAAGTATCTTCTAGAGCAACTTAAAATGAAGCATACAAAAGAGTTGGAAAAATTCTGTTCATATCATGTCAAAACTGCTTTTTTCCACTCGTGTGTCATGTGGCCAAACGACACAGACTGGCTTTTGGGAGACCTGGATCATTGCTTTCAGAAATATCTGGGATATTTTCTGGATTGCCTGCAAAAGTCTCAGCTGCCACACTTTTTTATTCCCAAATACAACTTGCTCAGCCTGGAAGATAAAGCAAGCAGTAATTTCCTTTCAAGACAAATAAACTATCAATTGAACAACAGATTCCCAATATTTCAGGAGAAGTATTAAAAACATTGTTTACAATAACTACCTAATCGTGTAATTTGCGTATTTCAAACTGGAATTTCTGCACCTTAAGTTAATCCTCAGTAGTCTGATACTACAAAACCAAAAATCAAGAACACTAAGAGAAAACTTCATACTTCAGTCACACTACCATAACCCTTAAAAGAAATAGGATGTTTTAAGTAATACATATCTTCTCTATCCAAACGTAGATGTCACCTGCAAAATCTCTTCAAGATAGACCAAGAACATATAGAAGAATTTGCACAGGTTAATTTCCCTGTATGTAATTCCTACGATTCCAAATATAAAGGCATCAACGACTGGGTAAAGTGAAAAAATGACAATTTTATTTAAAATTAAGATCCACTGCAGAATATCTAAAATACATTCTTGCTTTCAAAAGAAAAAAAAAAGTCACTGGAGTTACTTCGACATAAACCAGAACAACTTCTCCACATCAACTGGGCTGATGAAGACCTTTTGCAGAGGGCAATCACCAGATTGTGAGCAGAGAGAGAACATGTTATTAAAATAACATGAAGCTACTGAAGTAATTCTGAGTTTTCAGAATTGCTTTGGAAATTAAGTCTTTTCACTGGACTTTGTTCGGGAAGCAATCATTATCTAATGTGATGCAACAGAGTAAAAGTTACTGTGTCCATGTGCATTTGTGTGACAGATCTTGTAGAAAGAAACCTATCTTGAACCCACATCAAGGAGGAAAAGTGTCCACGTGAAAGGCTGTCAAAGCCAAAACGCAGCATGAATCCGACATTCTCAGAATCAGAATTCAGCTCAGTTTTTCTTATGTTGAAGAGTGTTAGGAAAAAATAATAATTGTAATAACTTACAATTTGGGAACTGCTGTGCTATAAGTAAATACATTTTTTGCTTCTTAAAGAAGCCATTGGAAGTCCATATTTTTAGCCTGCTTTTTGAAGGCAAAATAACCTACTGGCTTAAATAATGCCAAGATTTCACCCCAATTATAAGCAAAGAACAAAGAAGAAAGGCCAGAAGAACATTTAGAGAATAATTTTACTAAAACATTCTCATATCACTAGGTTCAGTTTATTAGTTTTTCATTTACTCATACAACACGTGAGTAAAAAACAAGATCAGACCAAGTGTCAAACGAAGGAATAGCTCCTCCCCATATAACTTCCAAAAAGTGAAAACATACCCTATTATCATTAGCAGTTTGTGTGACAGGACCTGACACCCGAATGGAAAACACAAATCAACTTTATCTGAAAGAAATAAAAGCTGATCTTCAAATGTATTTTTTCTTCATGAGTTTGTTAACGCTGATCTAGTAAACTCTGTTTTTCTTCCTTAAGCTAGCAAATTACATCCATGAGAACAAGAAGTAGAAGCTGTTGGTTTTTTTTCCCCCTCCAGTTAGCCACAAACACGTACTTCTTGTTACACTCTCCTCCATTAGGAGGAAATGCAGATTTCTCTGAAAAAAAGCTGGAGACACAAGTCTTAACGAAAGTGACTTTCAATGTTAAGTTTTGAAATGAAAACCAGCCAAACAAAAACTCGCTTCAGCAAACATCAGTTACGGCAAACAGGGCGGTTTTCAAATAACTAAGTTATCCTTGGAAATACTTCCGCATGCCACTGGCAGATGGGGCGTATCAATGCAAAAGTAAGTATTCTGAAGCCACATTAACAAGCATTGCTTACATTCACTAATCCAGTTCTCTGAAAGTAAAAGGAAAAATAATCTTTTACATTCTTATATATTAATACTGCATGTAATTAAAAAAACCCCACACAAACAAACCCACAATATTTGTTTTTAACCAGCAGATAATGGCTTTGGAAGTTACACACATCACACAAGAAAAAATAATGAAATTAATTTTTCTGAAGTGAAAATAGCATCCAAGTGCAAGACTAGATTTATTTCTATATACAGTTAATCTACTTTTTTAAGCCACTTTTAAAAATACATTTTATTTATATGTGACAGGCACAGAAGACAACTGAGAAAAGGAACTTTAAATTCAAGCCCATAGATGCTAACACTAACTATAATCACTTACTTTGTTTCAGTAACTTCAAGGGATTACAGTTATTTTGAGGGCTTTCTCTGAGGTCTTCGTATATCCTTTTCAATTTCTTTTCTGATTTGAAATTGTTTGTACCTTTCTGCCATTGCAATAAGCTCATTAGGAACTACCTGAAAAGAAAGAAGCACAAGAACAAGGTCAGTTTTAAACAAATCTGAACTTTTAGACTCTGCTTCATAAAAATGCTATTGATTTGTGTGTTCCAAAACTTGATTTCGTTATTTATCTGGCTCCTGTCGCTTTGTAGATTGTCTTTTCTGTAGAGATGCACGGATACATCTTTTTACGTAAAATTACACTGAAATATACTGAAAAATAATCGGCACAGTGTCCCTGGATTTTCAACTACATATGTGTGCTAGTATCACCGTATCCGATTACAACATATAACCAGCTAATTAAAACATTTGTATTTCAGATAGAAATGTATCTTTCAGTGATTATGAACAGCTGGGAAAAAAAAGTTCAATGCCACTAAAACATGATATCATACTCTATATACGTATATATATTTGAATGTTATTGATATTAAATTCCTTTTGGAAGTTCTCTGAAAAGAAACTTTGGTACTTAAAGAAAGCACTGCCATAGGAAGGGTTTTCACATGGATAAAACAATACCTGAAGACAAGAAAAGAAGGGCAGGAGAAAGTGGTCAGTTCTCCTCCCACTGGGAGGTCACAAGAGAATCTTAGCAAGATCCACAGTGCTTTCTGGCATGTTTGTAATTATGTGGAAAAGGAAGTGAATAGTATCGTCGGCATGCTCTGTCACCTCAGAGTTACTCACGTTCGTAAGGACTGAGGCCAGATGCAAAGAATTACAGACAGACTTTATTAGGTTGAGTGACACTGACCACTGAATGAAAGAAAAACCACCACACACCATTCTTATAGATCACAGAACAAAGGCAGTGTCCAACAAGCTGCCTTAAACCAGATCAGGCATAATGCAGACATTACTGCAACGTTTACTGCAATAAGCAGTATGAGTGACTACTGTCAGAAGAGGTTTTAGATCACTAATCTGTCAAAATCAGCCTGCTTCAACAATCTGCTGCAGCATGTAGCCATGCAGCAGGTAGAAGATAATTCCAGAATCAGTTTCCTGATCAGAGAGTGAAGAGCAAGCTTCCGCAGTGCGTGTGAGCATGGTATTAATGTGATTGTCCAGCCTCTGTGGTTTGTCCCTCCACCACTGACACAAACACTGTGCAAACAGTACAGTATGACCAGATTTAAGTACTGCTAAGTCTCCTTAGAAACTCCTAGACCTCGTTTGTAGTGCTTGAACAGGTGAAGAAAGCAGCCAGGAAAAAGGGCCTGGTCGAGTAGGAAGGTTTATTCTTCCAGTTCCAACTTCTTTTGTCAGGCTTTATATAATTCAGCAGTGTTTGCCATTTGTTATCAGCAACTTTTCTTAAGCTGGCATGAGAGTCAGCTCATTACTATATGTTTTATGAGCTGAATTGCTCTTACTGGTAAACAACTGCCTTGGCTGTCAGGAGTCCACAGAACAGGATGTCTATAGAACAGTCTATTCTGCCTAAGTTTTAGACATTGTTTAAAAATAAAGTGAAAAATTATGCATTTCTCGAGCTGAAAGTCATTACAGACCTGTATCAAAAGAGACAGAAGTAATGAGACAAAGTTAATTTTCAGTTAAAACACTGGATGATTGTCTTCCTCAGTATCAGATGCTCTCCTACAGCATGGAACAGCATTTATTCCAACTAAAATTGCAACAATTTCTTGCAAGAGTGGTTTTCGAGCAGGCACAAGGAAAGAGCGGGAAGAAGCCAGGATATGGAACATAATCTTGGTGAGGTAATATCCAGCATCTAGTGGTTTGTTGAGATTTTTATGTGGACAATCTGTATATCTGCTAAACATATAAGCTAGGAATGGTAGGCCAAATGAGAAAACAAAAAAGGATAAAGATGCCATAATTTATATATAACACTTCTTGGTTTTACAGAGATCACTGTTTTCCCACCTGATTCCCCAATAAATCTGTCCATGCTTTTTAATAAACTTATATAAAAGATCCTTGCAGTATGATATAGAAATCTTTCTGCTTTAGCTGTTTTTCTTTAGGGAGATTTTCTGTATATCTGAAATCATGGAAAAGATCTAGCTAACAAATGCACCTCACTTATTCTGAAATTGAAGTATTTTGAACATTGAGACCATGTTTTCAGTTGCTCTCCTTCCCTTTTACATGACGATGTTTTAAGACTGAATAATGATATTTTCATTGTCATGAGAGAGGGAAAAAAACCAACGCTGCCTGTATGGATACTTCCCTTCTATCAGCTATAACTAAAAGTTTGAGAATAATGTTGTGACTAACAGCTACCCTTAAAAGTAAGGATTCAAAGATGCCTCTTTTCTCCCCTGAACTCAAGAGACCCGTTGCCAGTTGAACTATCACATGTCAAAAAAGTTTAGGAACTTCACAGTCTGCAGCAGGAAACAGGGCATGGATGGTAATAGCTGACTCAGAAAACAGAACAAGGCACTTCAAGTTCTATTTAAGTGGCCTCAAAGCATCATTACTGGTTTATCTCTTACACTTTCTAAAAAAGCCCCAAAAAAACCCCAAAACCCAAATAAACACACCCACCCCCACCAACCTGCAACTTTAAGAAATTAGTAGGAGACAACTCTTGGCTCTTGTTTTGTTGTTGGTTGTTTGTTTTTTTCTTTTAGCTTTTCCTCCCTCAAAAGCATCTTACCAGGTTTGCAATAAGTGGCATAACATCTTTCAAAGAAGAGTTGTAAACCAGAAGATTTAGGTGAAGTTCTAACTCAGGGTTTAAAATTTGAGTAAGTGTCCACAATAACAACCACAGGTCCTAGGTAAAAGTAATTTAGTTTGTACTCAAACTACCATCCCTCCAAATAAAAAAAAAAAAATTAAAAAATTTCAACGTAAGTCAGGGCATGAACTAGGGGTTTACTATAAATCAGGCAAAACATGGTTTCTTGTTACACCGAGACACAGCAACATAATTGTCTCTGGCTTCTCAGATATGGTAGCAAGAAAAGAAATGTTTCTTTAAAAATAAAGAAATCGCATTCCATTCCTAATTTCCCATATTATTTACAAACATCTGTAAGAAAGATAGCTTGGAAAAACGTATGCAGATATCACAACTGTCAGATATAATAAACTGATACACAGTTGAGCTTCTTCTGATAGAAATATTATTAGTATTTACACTGTTACACAGGAACATTGATATGCAAATCCACAATTTAAATACAAATGGAATAAAATACTGTGTGTTGTGGGTTAGGCCGCTCTGGCAACCAAACCGCCAGTCGTTGACTCACCCTCCCCCAGCCCCAGGGATGAGGGAGAGAATTAAAGGATAAATGGGATACCTGTGGGTTGAGATAACAACAATTTAATACAGATGATTTAATACACAGTGTAGGTGCTCACCACCCCCTCGTATGCAAAGCCCGTCTCGTCTCGAAGCTGCAATCCCGGACAAATACGAGGCCCCGAAATAGAGAGGGGCAGAGAGAGAGAGAGAGTACTCCGAGAGTGGGAGTACTAGGAGCGAGAGGGAAAAAAAAAAAAGCAATAGAGCAAAAGCACAGCAAGCACAAAAGAGCAGAAGCGGTGAAAGAGCCAAAGCGCAAAAGCCCTTCTGTCCGGCTGCCCCTCACTTTTATACTGGGCATGACGCTGCGAGATATGGAATACTAATTGGCCAGTTTGGCCCTCAATCTTAAGTTCCACCACAAATCACAAGGGGAATTGTGTCCCTCTTGTCCCGGCTATGCTCCCCCTTTATCCCGCCGTGCTTCTGCACTCCGGCACACTGAAAAGTCCTTGGAGTCTCACGTCCAACCACAAACATCAACTTGCTATCAACATTCTTCTCAGAGCGAGCCTCTGAGTAAAACCAAAACACGGAGCTCTTATAGCTGCTAAAAAGAAGAGCTAACTGTCTCAGCTAAAACCAGGACACTGTGAAATAAAATAGATCCTGTTATTCCTCTGCAGACTTCTATAAGAGTGTATGTTAGTTACTTTTTCTCTGGATGGAGAGAAGTGGAAAGCTTTGATTCAAGTTCCTGGTTCTTTTTTGGGACTTGCCTGAAGGTAAAACACAGTGAAGGATATCCAGGACAAGAGAGACTTAGGTACCCATTTTTTTTCCCTTGAGACACTACAAACACTCAGCAAGAAAGGTCTAAGTAGGCTTAGACCTTGGTTCTGGGTTACCACTGTTTTGGGTGGTAACCCAGAACCAATATAAATCTTACCCAGTAAGACGTATTCTTACTTGGTTTGCTCTTTCCAGAATTTCAATCAGCTCAGATGCAACCCTCCAGTCGTTCTTCGTGACAAGCGTTACTGCCTCCCCAGTGCGCCTAAACAAGGAAAGAAACAACTGTTGATTTTCAAAACAGCTGCTGTTAGGCTGTTCCTACTGACCTATATGGACATAAATTGTACCACAGGCCATATATTGAACTGGTAGATAAAAACGGCTTGAGTATTTACTATGCACATGACAGAAAGCAACTTTTCATAGAGATCAGAATGTGGCAATTCACCTAACATGGAGCAAAGGTGCAACTAATTTAGACTTTTAAACAATAAACCTAGCATAAAGAGCATATTTAAGTGTGAAGAGACATACATTCATATCATGATTAAAATAAACACATACCCAAGAAAAATCACACTTGTGCTGACCTCGAAAAGCAGCATTCCAAAATCCTAACACCAAACTACACCACCATGACAGGCTGAAAACTTTGAACTTCTGTGTGTTTTTTCCCCAATGGGCTGTCTAGGAAACTAAACAACCCAGCAGCTCACAAAGAGACAAACAAGGAAGTAACATTTCAGAATATCTACACGGAAGTTGTTTTGAACTGTAATTCTTCCCCAGATTTAAACCACCTTTCAAACATCTCTCATTCCCATGCACTTCAATGAAAAAACAGAAGAGTTGAAAACTTGTTTGCCTTAAATTTAACAGTGAATTAATTTCAAAACATAAAGCAGTGTGTTATTATCTAAAACACACTTTCACAAACTCCAGAGTCTTCACTCCCCATCACCTGCAGCTCTAGCATTTCACAAGAGAAACACCTACACCGCGCATAAAATACTAACAACATGTTACTATTTTCTTGTAAACACTCACCCTGCTCTTCCAGTACGACCTACTCTATGAACATATTCTTCAATGTTGCGAGGGAAGTCAAAGTTAAAAACATGAGTAATATCATGCACATCAAGGCCACGGGATGCTAAGTCAGTAGCTACCAGTATTCTGACTCTACCTAAAATAAGTGCAACAGAAAAAATGGGAGTTTATGGAATAAAAAGAAAATATACTCCAGTCTATTGATCTTCTAGTGTATAATACACTTATTCTTAGCACATAAAGGAAAAACATGCTTGTTGCACATGACACTGAGTTAGCTTCAAATAGGTGGTGGTAAGTAAGCACCCAAAAACGTTATTTTACAAGTACTTGTATTTCACATGTAGAACAGCAGGGTGCAGGAGAACTAAGAAACACACCTAGCTGATATAAAGAGTCTGTGAAAAGAACAGAAACTTTAACAACTACATTCTCTGCTGGCATCTTTATCATAGGACTATTGGTTTTATTAGCATGTGGTCACATAATTCCAAAGCATAACCCTACTGGCATAATCAAGAGCAGAACTGAAAGCATCACCATTTGACACTTAAATTTAGCATTCTGTAGACTAACACAATATTGCATTTTCCACAGAGATTTCAAAAATAAAATAAGCCTTACTTTGAATTATTTAGCTCTTAGACATTCCATTCCAAATTTTATTGAAGAGTGATCTTTTTGTTTCCTGGATTTGTTGTTTATCAAATTAACAAAGCAAATATATCCTTCAGACCTCTAATATTTTAATTTCTATGGTATTGAAGAGACATGGCACTTACAAAATAGACAAAGTTCTGCACATGACAAGCTTTAAAAACCTGGGCTAAACATGCCAGTACTTAGGTACAAACATACCTGTCTTGAAGTCATCTAAAGCCTGCTCCCGATCACACTGTTCCCTGTTACCATGAAGTGACTGTACTGGAATTCCCTGGAGACCAAAGTCACTTGCTAAGTCATCAGCTCTAGGATGAAATAAAACAATCGTTATTGAAAAGACAAAAAAAAAAAAAGGTAAAAAAACCCACGACGGCGTCTAGATTTAGATCCAAAAGGTCATAAAGTGACGACAAAAGCTAAACATGTGCCTAAGGACAAAACCCTACCTAGGTCAGCCAATACTTATTATAAACCTGTATGAAAGCCAAGACTATTCCTCACATAAACATTTGCTTTGATTTATATATAACAGAAATAATAGACGATTTTTGTGTTGTTCACTCAAAAAATCTCAGGTATGGTTCAATGACCTCCCCCTCCAATCAGGTCTTGTATGCACCAGCTGCATATGCAAGTAATCAGTACATCACATTAATGTATCTCCAAGAATCTTAACATCTACTTTAACTATGTGAAATTGAGATTTGCCACCACCACTAACGATATTAAAAAGGATACAAACTACCAGTCAGTCTGGAGGAATGAATGAATGAAAAAATAAATAAATACAAACGCCACTACTACCAGCACATTGCTGGCAAGAGCTGTTACACTCGGTAATTATTACATGTACTAAGAAACTATCCAGTATTTCTGTTAGGAAGAACGAACAGATGTAATATTGGGAACTGATTACATACGTAAGTTTTTTTCCCACAAAAATGATGACCTTATCTTTTGGCTTCATAGAGTCAATGAAGTGTTGCATATAAGCTCTCTTTTCCTCCTCAGCAATAACAATAACTCTCTGTTCCACCGTATTTACTGCCTGTTGAAAAGCAAAAAGAGATGTGAAGTAGAAACAGGTTAGAATAATGTTTTTTCTGTTAATTCCCATATTACGACATTATAAAATTAGTAACGTGATACCATGAAAAACTATTTTAAAGTCAAAATATGTATCAGTTTGGAGTCCAAACAATGCAGACTTATTTGTTGTTTCCTAGTTGCTTTAGGATAATAGTAAAATTCACCTTTAAGCAGTTTGCCAAATAATGTATTTGTAGAGATTTAGAGGGCACAGATTAGTAGACTAGTGAGGCAAAATAAATATCCCCATTATTAGTGAAAATCAGATTGTAGTAGTTTGAGTATATTTGAGATTCTATGATATTTTATGTTAATCCAGAGCAAGCTGGAACAATGCCAGCCTTACTTGAAAAGACAAGCTTTTAAATAAGCTTTTTAAATAAGACTCTCTAATCTATTTGAAATGATCAGTTCTGTCCAATTCTTCCAACAACAGTTTGTTAATAAAAAAAAACCCTTTACTCCATTATATTTGAAGGTTGCCAATATCTAAGATATACTACATAAGTAGTATGAAAGTCCAGACATTCTCATGGCACTGCATCATAATCTTGTGGCAAGGCTGGCTGAAGAATCAATCAAGTACATAGAAAGATTCTGTCTCCACATGGGAACCCTTCCCCCTCCACCCCAGAGGTCACCCCTTCAATTAAGAGAAGCTTCTGTAAAAGATGAATGCATTAGACAAGACAGCTGTAATAGCAGCTGATATCTTTCAAATCCTGATCCTGTGTCTTTGACAAGTAGTGCCCTTTAACAAAAGCATAGTTCTGAACAGACCAGACAAAATGTACATTTTCCTCCTATTTCTACCTAAAAGGTGTATTAGATATTAAGTTTACTCATTCCCTATCTCACTAAGAAAAGTGAGACTGAAAAGGAAAATTTCATCGTTTAAGAACTAAAGTCAAAGCAATCTCTGGACCAGGATGTGGCGATCATGGAATAACTACTATTTTTCTAAATTCTGCTGGTACTGAAGCCAACTACACATAGCTGCACCAGCATGACAAGTATGCAACTATATTTACGTATTAGAAGTTTTGGATTTTTAAAGACAGTTCTTCCTCTAAAATATACTGTTCCTGCTCTAGACAAGCGCCCTCCAGGACTTTACTAGAGAGCTTCCACTCTCTTTGAGAAAGCTGCAGTTAAGAAACATAGATCCAGATAAGGAGCTGTATGCATTAGAAAGAAGATCTTCAGAAGGAAAAGTAAGTAACAAACAAGAACTTGCTGAACAGAAGGGAGGCTGCAAAAATAAACGTTCAAGCAAGAACACATGGCACAGCAAAGTACAATATCCAAACCTCAATTTGATTGATACTTGCCCACTTGTGATGTCTTCTAAGGAATACCTAGGCCTTCAAGATTTTGTTACAGAAATATAAGAACAAAGTTCTTTTCTACATTTTTTTTTTTAAACTTCTTTCTAAACTTTTAATGAAACTTTGAAAGAATAATATGGAGCTGTTTTCTGTTTTTTTCAAAGTTCGGATTGATTTTGAAGTTACACACATTTACTTACACATAGTTACAAGCGAAATATTTCCTGGTTTAACTGTAGGTTCTTCTCCAAAAGGGAAAAAAAAAAAAAAAGACAACAGACCAACTTACTGCTAAGTCAAGAGTGCCAACATATACAATCATAGGATTTTTCAAATAGGATTTGGCTAGGCGACGAACACCATCAGGCCAAGTAGCACTAAAGAGGAAGTGAAGAGGAAAACACGCACATGAGAACAGAGTGCAATATCTTCTCTAGTTCATTAATTTCATCACATTCTTCTTTCTTTCCTTTCTTATACACCAGTGAGACACTCGAGTATGCAATAACAGTAGTGAGTTTATATAACATTTAGAAATAATCTTAAGTTATTCGTAAACAGCACTCAAGCTTTAAAGATCACTTTCTAGGTTAAAGTACAGACAATGGTTATGGAGCCTTTCTAATGAAGCCAAAAGTGAACTTTGTAGTTTAATGATACCTAAAAAGCAAGCTTCTAGTCTGGTTTTATCTCTAAAACAACAGCTCCAATGCAAAAGACGGTAACAAAAGTTATTGTTGGGATATTCGATTGTTAAGCTCCCAAAAGCTGCATAATTTCAAAATTAGTGCAGGTACAGACCAGCACAGATACTGGTCAGAAGGTTAGGATACACGTCTGGTCCCAGATGGAGATGTGGAAGTTGGCATTTCGAATTGATATGGCAAATTCTAGCACTCCCAGAGCACCTTCCTTTCTGGGAAGAACTCAGTTGTTTTTATAGTTGATGTAAAACGACAGAAAAGGGGTAAGAAATGAAGATAAAATTGTCAAATGACTCATTAGGACTGACTAGACAGAATTAGACATAAAACTGATGCCATTCCCATTTAGGCTAGTAAAAATCTTATTAAAACTGACACATTTGTTTTGAAGTTAACTTGTTCAATAATCTTATGTTCACAGTGTTCAAATACTGAGCACTATCATGTTTACATACCTTGTCATAACAGTTTGTCTGTCAGGCCGCACATCTATTAGGATCTTCATTATCTGAGGTTCGAATCCCATATCCAACATTCTGTCAGCCTCATCTAAAACCTGCTCAGAACAAGGTTATTTATTGTGTCTAGTTCCTTAGATAAGGGTTTCAGCACATTACATAGCAGATCATTTTAACAGTAACAATTTTAGTTGTAGAATCCACTCCACAATGTATTGCAAAACCTGTTCAACTTCTATTTCGTCTCTTCAGTTTCCTTGAAGCTTTTCCATTTAGTAATACATTTGCAGGCAGAACAAGAAAATTCACACCTTCAAGAGCACTTGAAGTCAACGAAGAAGAAACAATAACTGTTTGTTTTAACAACATTTTTGTTAGTACCTAAGATTCAGCACAGAGTTAAAAAAAACCACAAAAAACAATAAAATCAAAGCCAACCAAACCGGGGAGGGGTGTGGATAGGTAGGACGACACAGGACAACGGACAGGGACGGACACCGCACAACACACTTTCAATAAGAAATTTTTGGTAACTTCAAGGGGAAATCTCATTTCTATCTTGACAAAGATCTCATACTAGACCAAAATATCATTTATCGATTTAGTTCCTCGTTAGAGGTAGGAAAAAAGCCAGACCGTGCATTCTGGCTTACACAAGGACACTGCAGAACTCGATAGCTGTCAGGCAAGAAGACAAATTCCCTGCCTCCAATTCAACTGTGTACAGTGTATATTCAAATATAATTCATTCTAACAGAGTTTGGTTTTTTGTTTGTTCTTTTTTTCTTTTTTTAAACAAACAACCGCATCCTGGTCTCTAACCTTGGAAGTCCTTTGGAAAACAATTATATCCTACCAGCAAATAATACTCAGTGCACTTTGGGAGCATTCACAAGACTCATCAATATCTTTAAAGGAAAACCAAATAAAGCTCTTCAATGAAGAGCATTCTTCATCCAAGGTGTTAAAGTTGAAATCTAATATCCCTCTCTTTTCTCTGAAATAAGGCTGCAAGATTAAATTATTTGTTGGCTGAAAATTGACAATGATGCTGTGGAAACAGAAAGCATCTTATATACTGAAAAGTACAAGAAATTACAAGGAAAAATATGTGGTAACGTAGAAAAAACAGCATTTTGGATGTCCAACTTTTCATATGGGACCTAAAGAAGCACAGCATTTCCAGAAAGCCTGAGGCATGAGACATTAACCACTTTGCAAAACATGGTCCATGCACTGGTTTCAATCTTCTGAAAATATTTAACTGCTAGCAGTACTACAACAAATACTTTTCTCCTGGTTTACATCAACGTATTTTTTAGTTTGATAGCTAATTCTTTTTAGTAATGTCATACTATGGTATATCCTGCACATACTGAAACATCTGATTTTGGTTACATACATATTCTTTGCTTTGTAAAGCAGTGATGTGATTGTAGTATGACCATACTTCACATTGGTAGAGAAATATACTAATCACAGAATGGTTTGGGTTGGAAGGGACCTTAAAAACATCATCTAATTCCACCCCCTCCTTGCCATGGGCAGGGACATCTTTCACTACACCAGGTTGCTCAAAGCCTCATCCAACCTGGCTTTGAACACTTCCAGGGATGGGGCATCCACAGCTTCTCTGGGCAACCTGTTCCAGGGCCTCACCACCCTCAGTGAAGAATTGCTTCCTTATCTCTAATCTAAACCTACCTTCTTTCAGTTTAAAGCCATTGCCCCTTGTCCTATAGTTTTCAGAAAGCAGATTTTCAAGCCTTTATTCCTCCTGCTTAGCAATTACATGTGACTCTTCTACATGAGGCTACTTCCCTGTCTTCCAGTATTTTTTTTTTCTCAGATGGCCAAATTTCCAACGATGCTATACCATCACTGGCCTTGCCAGTAAGCTCACAACCATTAGCTACAATTGAAGCTAACTTGTTACAGCATAATGAGTATTTAATCCTTAGAGGGGAGTGAGGGTGGAGATAAAGGAGGGAAAGCAGGCCAAACTGTCAAGCTAGGCAGCATGTTAGGCTTGTTGAATTGAACAGACAATTCAGAATTAATTTAAATATATGAAAGCATTTTACAAAATAGGAATGGTTTTAAGTGTCCAGCACAGGAAAAGGCAAGAATGAAACGAAGACAAAGATTCACAACAATGTTTACATGGCTATTTTCCCACTGAGATCAAAAGAAAGTCAGTCACTTAAGCATTTAAATGTCTAACTCTGACTTACTGCTGCACAAATTTCAGTAAGAACTTGAGTCACTGGTAACCTTTACAATAAAAGGAAAACAGACAACCTGTGAAAGGTATTTAATCCATTAATAACTGATCTTGCCAAAATGAACTTTTAAACAGCAAATATTACTAATGTGAGATAACAATTCAGCATCTTTAAAATGCTTACTGTGCTAAAAACCTATTTTATTTTTTCCTAGTGAATATTCCACATCTGCAATGCAATTATGGCAAGTATGAACCACTCCTTCAACACTAATCACAATATTAAGATGTACTGTAATTAAGACTTAAAAAGTTTAAAGAAAACTTCATTAAAGCTTAAGTTCACACTAACTGTCAACCATTTCCCAACTGGTGCGTTACTCATTCCGTATCAGCTACTTGCCAAGTATGTTATGCTCTTCAAATTTATGAAGTTGTTCATTTGAAGATCATTCAGTCTGCCAGGAGTAGCAATAACAATATCCACACCTTTGGTAACCACGTGTATCTGTTCTTTTCGGTCCCCACCACCATATATGCAAATACTGAAAAATAAATGCATTACAGAAGCAGTGTATTAAGGTTCAACTGAAGTCAGTCTTTTTCACATAAATACCACTATGTTGCTTCATTTGAAAAAGTTATCATCTAGCATTATTGAAAAAGTTATCATCCAGCATTACCAAGAGGAAGGAATACCATAAATGTGACTGACAGTATCACAGTAAGTTAACACTGAATGATACTCCCTCAAAAGTTCAGCAAGCTTTCTGCTGAAATTGCAGTGAAAGTAATCCTGAGAGGAAGATAGCTATTAATCTACAAGTATGTTTTGGGTTGTTCTGAAAATATTCACACAAAAAAAACAAAGAGATGAACATACGAAAGGATGCATGATTTTCTAAATGGTACCATCAAAAGTCAAACATTTTGCTGTTAAAACAATCAGTACACTTGATAAGGTGTACAAACTTAACACACTCTGTAAAACTCCTTAGTATTTCTGGGAAGGAGGCAGAACGTACGTTTCAGTACTTGATGACTACAAGACTAATTCTGTACGCTATACAAAGTTACCAGAGCCCTAAAAGTAACTTTCATGGTACAGTAATGTCTTTTTAAAAGCTAAATGAAGACCTAACACTCTGAGCAGGTTTGTGGATGAAACTGGGGGAGCAGTTGATATAGTAGGACTAGGCTGTTACTCAGAAGAACCACAAAAGACTAGAGGAACGGGCTAACAGGAATCCTATGAAGTTTAACAAAAGCAAAGATGGGGATGGAATTACCTCATGGCTGAGGGCCAACATGCTAGAAGATGGCTTTGCAGAAAAGACTTGGGTGGGCTTGAAACAGAACATTATTCAGCAGTGTAACCCCACAGAAAAGAAAGCCAGCTGTGTACTATGGAGAAGGTAGCCAGCAGACTGATTATTCCTCCTTATTTACACTTGTGAGACCACACTTGCAGGATAATATCCACTTTTTGTAGCTCCCGCCTCTATTACATCACAGACATATCCATACTGGAGCAAGCCCACTAGACAGCAACCAAGATGGTCAAGAGGACAGAGTGCATGATGTGAGAAGCTGGTAACCAGGCTTGTTCAGCCTGAAGAGGACAAGGCTCAGGGAGATCTTAATGCTTTCTACAGCTACCTAACAAGGTGCCAAGAAGACACAGCCAGACTCTTCTCAGCAGTCCACACAGAAGCCAAGAAGCAACAGACAAAGCCACAACTACAGAGAACTCCAAATATATAAGAAATAAGATTTTCACTGTGAGAGTAGTCAAAACAGGCACTCTAAAACTGGGAAAATACAAACTCTGCATTTACTATCTTTCCCTCCCCTCTTAACAAATGCAATTATTTTAGCAGGTGAATTAAGCCACAAGTGGTAGGGAAAAAAAAATTACTTAACAAGCAAGAGAGAAGTGAGATTACCTTTTAATTCCTTTATATGTGTACTTCAAACACTCTGCCTCTACTTGAAGAGCCAGTTCTCGAGTGGGAGCAAGGACTAACATTCCAGGCCCTCCTCGCTGATCTTTGGATCTGCAATAAAGCATCTTTAGAACGTGAGTATATAAGGCTAGGCAAAGTCCATCACATCTGACATCAAGTATTTTTAGACTGTTCTAGACTTTCTCAGTGCACTGCTACTAACGAGTTGACAAGTTTGGTGATAAGTGACAAGGTGACAAGTTTGGTATTTAGTACACCAGGTTTGTAATTTTTTTTTCAATGTTTATCATTTGTTATCTTCTTTACTAGAAAACCATCTCACAGAGGGTGAGAGGAAGTATCTACATCTAAACAAGTCAGACACAAGCAGTCCTTACATTGGTTGCGAAGTCAAGTGAATGAATCCAGGAATTAAGTATGCTAACGTCTTCCCAGTACCAGTCTGTGCTATACCAATAAGATCAATTCCTTGCAGTATGATCGGCCATGCCTGGGACTAACATAAAATAACAAATACTTAAATGTATTTTTCTCTTAAGCTTCAGATAAAGAGTCATCAAAATTGATAACATACCTGAATTGGTGTAGGTTTTTGAAAACCAACTTTTCTTATATTAGCCATAATATCAGGATAATGCTCAAATACATCTTCAAATTTACAAACAGGATTGGGAATGCAGCGCTTTTCACCTTCTTTTAAGTCATCACAAATTATATTATTATTTTCTTTCCTGTATAGAATTAAAGAAGTGCAATTGCTTTAAAGTCTCATTATCTGAAAAAGTAGAGCTGACACAAAAGACTGCATTAACAGAAATCAAGTTCAGGCTCTTGAATGAGACTATTCTTCTAACTTCTAAGAAAGACTTACTACAGAAAAACTTCTCTTGGAGGCATCAATTATTATTCTTTCTTAAGAATGAGTAAGTCAAAGTCATATATGGATATTAACATGAACTGCAGTCCTGTCATATCAGACTTCAATTATACTCTATTACAATTACACTCTATTACCTCTCCTATGAAGACAGGCTGAGAGAGTTGGAGTTGGTCAGCCTGGAGAAGAGAAGGCTCTGGGGTGATCTTATAGTGGCCTTCCTGTACTTAAAAGGGACCTGCAAGAAAGCTGGATGGGGACTTTTTACAAAGGCATGTAGTGATAGGGCAAAGGGCAATGGATTTAAACTGAAAGAGGGTAGATTTAGATTAGAGATAGGGAAGAAATTCTTCACTCTGAATGTGGTGAGGCACTGGAAGAGGTTGCCCAGAGAAGTTGTGGATGCCCCATCCCTGGAAGTTTTCAAAGCCAGGCTGGATGAGGCTTTGAGTAAGCTGATCTAGTGGAAGGTGTACCTGCCCACGGCAGGGGGGTTGGAACTAGATGATCTTGAAGGTCCTTTCCAAAACAAACCATTCTATGATTCTGTGAAATTAAATAACTGTGATAAGTTTTAAACCTAAAGACAATCTAGAACTCATAGGAATGGACTGGATTTCTTTTTCAGAACCCTGTATTCCGACAAAAGCCTTCGTGAAATATTTTCAGAGCAGCTCCCTGGATGCTCTAGAAAACACAAACAGAAGTGTTTAGAAAAAAGGTGGCCAGTGAGACATTGAGCTCCCTCCTAAAACAAACAAACAAAACTCAAACCACAACACACACAAAAAGTTACATAAAAAACGAGGTTCTGAGGCTCCCTCAAATTAACAGGTATTAATATGCATAAGCAGTTTATGTTCATTCCAGTTCTGTACTCTTCTGAAGATTCCAATCAGCAAATAGTTTTACTTCAAGCAGGGTGTGGGCTAGGAAAAGAATGGGTAATTCAACCTTCTCATGTTTACTTTTTTTTTCCCCAATTACTGTCTTTTTTTCCTTAAACAGATTAGATGAAAAATGAAAAACATTCCTTTATCACAAAAGTGCTATTCCTCAACGCATGTTCTGAATTGACAGAACAATGTTCTGTTGTTGCTCTTGACTTGCTCTAACAATAACATGTACACACACTTTAAGCAAACAGGTGTCAATTCCATGCTTTGCTCACTGTGACAAGGTTTCTCTGGTGGGCATGCAAGAGGAAAAAACAGACACTACGCAAACCTAAAAGTAATAAAAGCTAACACTTCAAGAATGCTCACCAATTTCATCACAACTTCTGAAAAGGATTGAAACTATTACCAGGGCCTGAACAGAATCACTTGAAACAGATGATCTGCTTTTCTTGCAAAGTAATGATGTAGACTGCTGGATCAAAATGAATGGATCGAGTCAACTGAGGCATGTACTCACCAGGATGTACTGGTATAGGAAGACAACAGTTACAGAAGTTGAAATTTGTTTTGAAGATGGTATTTGACTAAAATACATGGGAAAAGTGGCAGCCAAGAGGTATTCAACATGTGAACAAAAATATTTGGAAGGTTCTAGAAAACATGAACATGCTGTCTCATGAAACGCAAAGAAACAGTGAAAGCCAATGAACTGTCTTGACTTTTTTCCCTTCTGAAAGTCAACTAGATCAAATGCTTTTAGAGAAGCAATTAATTCCTAAAGTTAATTTTCCAAGCAACTAATAATACCTTATCTACTAGTTATTGTTTAATTCCTAAGCAAGAGTTCCTAAGAAGATTGAAGTTATGACAAGACCCTAACATTAATGCTTCGATCTCAGTATTTCATCTCCCACTTTCTGGGCTTTGTACCTTAACAGTTATTTTTGTCAAGCAGATGATTGTCTTAGAAATGATCTTACCGCCACAGTTCCACTTCTTCTTGTGACATAGATGCAGTCCTTGATGATTCTTTATAGAAGTTTTTCTCAATTGGAGGCAAATCTTAAACAATCAGAAAAAGTATGCTTGAGTCAGTAAGAAATGCTACAGATTCAGAGTAAGTCTGCTAAAGCTTAAGATGGAAATCCTGAAACCCAGACTGTCTTGTACTAGGTGACTAGTCAAAAGCAGTGGAAGAATACTGTTGTTCATGTAAGAGATGAAGGCTGAAACACTTAAGTATCTGCAAAAACACTTCCCCACATTTCAAATTCTAAAGTAATTTCTACTAGCACATAGAGTATAATATTTAAAAATCCTCAGATTTTTGCTATGGCCACATACAAAACAACAGCATTTTCAAAGGGTGAAGTCAAAATACCAATCGAGTAGTAAGTTTAAGTCTTCACAGAGCAAGTACAGTGTCCTCCATGACCATGCAGAGAAACACTGACACGGTTACTTCACTGCAAATACTTCACTAACTTGGACACTGAAATATTCAGTCATCTCAAAGCAAAAATTAAAAACGTTTAAGCATTCAACACATTTATCATATAAAGACAAGTACTATACAATCAAAATTTTAAAACTAACCTGCCCACTTCATAGCTTCATATTTAGCTTTGTTTTCTCGAAGAGAGGCCCAGTTAATCACGAATTTCCTTGGGTTATTTTCAGGCTTGATAGTGTCCAAGGTTTTTCCTGTGCAGTTAGTACCAAAATTCTGCTGTTTGATGAAAACTGTTGGAGGATGGGGGAGAACACACACACACACACCCCCCCCAAAAGAAACATCTTATTTTCTTTTCCTATTGTAAAGCCTCATATGTGAGTTTGAATAGACACGAAGCATTTAAAGAGAAAATTCTTTCCTAGGTCTTAGCCTGAAACATCGTTAAAACCTGTACAAATCCAGTTCTGATAAAAAAGAAGCATTCCAGTATCTTTAGCTACTTAAAGAAAGTAATGACAGGTTCCAAAATGCTGCTCCTCCAGCTATAAATAAGGCTTGCTGTGCAGCAGGCTTCTGAAAAACTTGTGAATCCAGCAGATGATAGGCAGACAAAAAGCTTTCTTTTTAACAGCTACAAAAGCAAGGTTTACTTCTAAAGCATCTAATGTCACCACAAAAAAGTCTCAGTGTAGTTACACTCTATACCCCTTTTTTTGATGAGGTTAACACTTCTTAAGAACAGTTTTACACTGAAGATATAAATGGCAATATAATTATGTATTAGTGGAAAAGCTGGAAACACGGGGAAAACGCAGTCACAGCATTAACTATTTCTAGCCTCTTGAAATATACTTGTTCACTTTCTGGGGCACTTCTAAAAATCTAAACTCACAACTACTCCATTCCTTATTCTAATGTTGGAACACAACTCTTGGATCTGTCCTTCCTCATCAGTGTCTCAGATCAACAGCTATGAATGTTGTTTGCCTGTGCAAAAAGTCATCAGGTGCACATGCAAGACGAATATCAATAACACAAGCAGCATTTCAACATACAATCATTAATTACATATCCACATAATAAAGTTAACACTATAAAGCCTAGTAAAGTGAGTCATGATGTGCAACATCAGATCTTAAATGCTAACTTTCCGTGAAAGTAGTAAGAAGTCAGCATCATCCATGCTATAATCAGTAGATGCTTGCTTTATAGACTACATTTATAAAAGCTTATTGGATTTTAATACTGCAGAGATACTACACTAAAACTTAAACTAGAACCAATACTTCTGTTTTGGGGGAATCAGATTGATAATGCAAAAAAGCACGTAGCAGTATGAATGCATTCTGCATTCATTAAAATTGCTGAAAATACACAGGAAAAGATTTTCACAGAAGTCTGGCAGTTTGAGGGGTGGAAACCGTTCACAGTTGAGAAAGGAAGATGTCTAGATATTTCTGTTTTAAGGAGGTGTGCCATTGTCCAAGAACAAGGCGAAAGTTAATTCACTTTGGTAAAATACTACTAATAT